GTTGGATGAGCTGTGCTGTTTTATAGAAGGTGACCAGGGAAGTTGTTCTCCTAAGTGGCATTTGTACAAACAAATAAGATACTTTTTGTATGAAAGATTGGCAAAAATGAAAAAAAAGAGACAACATCCACATAAAGATATAGGAAAAGAGGTAGTTTTATGTGCTACTGGTGAATGTGTAAAGTGATTCAGCTTTTCTGCTATGCTTTTTGGCAATACGTATAAAATTCTTTTCATTAAGGAGATAAACAACTGGCAAGGATCCATACTGAAGCACTTTTTATATTGATATAAAAAGGAAAATTTATTAAAAAGTAGTGGGAAAATAAAATTATGGTATATCCAAACAAGGAAAGGATTATGTACCCATGCGGAAATAGATAAAATGCTTTGTTTAATAAGAAAATGTCATAATATTATGTTGGAAGTATAGTATAACTCCATGAATATTAAATTACGTATCAATTCTTATTTCCTCCTCCTGCTCCTACACACACACACACACACACACACACACACACACACACGCACACACACGCACAGCTTAACGGTCATTCAAAATATTAATATAGATTGTCTAAGGGAGAAGGAATTGTAAATGTTTTTTTAACTTCTTTTTTTATTGTTGCAATTATTTAGAGTAAGCACATATTATTTTTATAATGTCATATAAAGTAATTTTGTTTTAAAACACTCTATAAACCTCAATTCTATAGCAGTTACGAAGAAGTTACTATACTATTAAACAAGTTAATTAATGTAATTTAAAAAATAAATTTCAAGCAAACACTTAAAATGAAGTTGAGGGGTCAAGTGAGAGTAATGCTGTGTTCTGTGATTGGGGCAAAAATGGTCACTGGTAAAGTCAAGCTACAAGATACAGATGAGATTTTTCTCTCCATGTTACCCTTAAGTCAGCTAGGAAGAAAGGAACATCTTTAAAGGCAGTGTCACTAATCAAATAGTCTATAAAGAAGGGCAAGAATATGAGTGAATCCTAGAGCAGCGAAGGTCCTCAACTGATATCCTAAAGGGAGGGATTCCCTTTCTTCTCCAAGTCTTCCCTTCTGTCCTTGTACCATCTTTCTACTTGAATTAGGTAGGCATCGAGTTAATAGGAGTAATCCCTTTGAAGAAGACTTTGTTGCGTTGTTTTTGAAACAATAGTATTAAAGGTTTCTAACAATGAAATCATGCAGGAAAAAGAAAAAGAGGAAAGATGATAAAGATTCCTAACAGTTTTGTGCAATTAAGTACAGTTTGTAACTTCTGTTTTGTGCAATTAAGTACAGTTTGTAACTTCTGTTTAAAAATTCTGTAACATTTTAGTTTTAAATGCTGTTAAACAATACTAGCTTATTGCTTAATAGCAACTATTATCCTTGCAGGGGATTATGCTCTGTTTTACCCATTATTAAATGGAAAAGATGCCTCTGGGTTTTTTATTTTGTTTTGTTTTGTTGTGTGTGTGTTTTATTTTTTGTTTTTTATGGTCACCGTAATAGTAGCTATTCTGGTTATTAGAAACATGAGAATTCATAATCTCCCAGATCTGTTTCTTTCTCTTTATTCCTTTCCAAATGGATATTTCCACAATTTAAAGATCTGCCAAGACAAAAACTCGTGTCATTTTTCATTTTTTCCTATCTCTTAACCCAATGCAATATCTGTCACTGAACCTTATTGATTCTTTTTAAAGTCTTTAAAATTTATCTCTTTTATTTTTTTTGTCTTCACTGTTACTACTTTAGATTAGGCTTTTATGATTTCTCACCTGGACTCTGCAACACTCTAAAAACTGCTTTACTTTCATCTGTCTTATTTTATGCAATGCATCTGACCTTTTGTTTCAATGGTCTTCTTTAAAACATAACTTCAATCCTTTCACTTTGGTGCTTAAAAACATTGAATAGAATCTTCTTTTATTATAAGATAAAACTATAAAAAAGCATAGATGATCTGTCCACTGTACATCCTCCCCACTCTCTTCCACCTCAGAAGCTGATATAATTGCACTCCAGTTATGCTAAAATATTTGTAATTCCTTGAGTGTGTCTGTGCCTCTGGACTTTTACACACAGGATATTCTTTCTGTCTGATCCTTACTTCTTTCAAACCTCTCACCAATCTTGTTATTTTTTGTTTATTCTAAACCAGGTTAATATTTACTAGTCCTTTAAAATCCCACTCCCATATGACTGCTTCTGAGACTTTTCCTGTGTAATCCAGTATGAGATAAATGATCTCACAGCACCTGTACTTACCGTATCAAAATCCACATTGCACTGCATTGTAATTATGTGTGCATATGTTAGTTTCTCCTAGTTAGAGCTCTTGATGAGAGGAAATTTATTTAAATCTTTATTTTCCCTGAATCTGACACAGTGACTGTGGTCAGTAAATACTTGTTGAATGTAGAATCTGAGGATAACACATCTTACCTATTTGAATCTAGCAAATCCCACCAAATGACTATCCTTAGGCCATCAGAAGAGTATTAGTCTCTCGGTTTTAGGGTGTTTTTGTTTTTACTTTTTTATGTTAAGAATTCATAGCATACTTCATGGTATGTTTATAATAAAGCGTAAGATCATTTTTCTAAGGTTATACATTAATAACTACTTTTCAGATGAAGTTTGATTTTATAAGTGTGATCCTTATACTATAACATCTATAAAACTTTATGAAAATGAACAATTATTGATTCATCAGATACATGAATTAAATGTATACTATATGTCAAGTACTGACCTAGAGTAAACTCTGGAGTAGAAAAAATAACAGGTCCATTGTCCATCCTTTGGGGACAGTAAGTCTTAATCTTCTCCATGGGGCAAAAAAAAAGTGCAGCAAACCTATAAATATAAAAAAACTTATAAAAAGCAAACAAACTTGTCGGTTAGACTAAATGTTAGTGCAAATGTGAAAAAAATAAGAACTGTCATAATAAAACCAATTCTTGTTTTAGCTATGATGATCAGCTTGTTTCATGTATGATATTTAAACCTCTTAAGAAAGTGGGTAACTATCAAACTTTTATGTTATTTCATAACATGAAACTATTTAAGATTGTCACTAACAGAGGTTTATAGCAGAAAGATTATTGCAATATAGAAAGCAGGGTGAGATTTGCCATGGGCCTTGATGGGGAATATTATTTTGGCAAGCAGATAGAATGGGAAATAACTGTTTCAGCAAAAATGCAAAGGTGGCAAAGTGAGACAGTGAATAAATGTATTTGACTTGAACCAGGATTTGGAGTAGGAGAAGAGCAGGCTTAGCTCTGGAAAGGCAGGCCTAGTTAGATTAGCCAGTCCCTTGAGTTGCAGCTTAAGGAGCTTGGAATTCATCCTGTAGGTAGGAGAGTAAGGTGTCTTATTTTTTATTCTGCAAATGACACTACTGAAATTACGTTTTAGGAAGACTGATCTGGCTGGGGATTACAGGACTCATTGAAAGGAGAGAAACCTCCTGTAGTGAAAGAAGAATGCATAAAAGATGTGGCCATGGAAATAGTATAAAAGACATAGAAACTTAAATTTAACAATTTTGTCAAGTAGAGTATGCTCTAATATGTGTTTCCATGTCTATTTGCCCTGTCTTTTACTGTTACTAATATTATAATCAGCAAATTCAGTCAAGCTAGTTGTTTCAAACATTTGGGATGTTTGGCGAGGCAATTAGTTGATTAGTAGAAATGTTTACTTTTCAGAGAGTTGATTTGTAATTTGGAAGACTCAGCTCATGTCCATGTATTTTCTTTGTCATCTTCCAGAAAGTAATCAGGAGGATAATAGTAACCTGGACAAAGAAAAATAACTCCAGGAAAATGAGGAAAGTGCAAAATGGAAAAGGATCTAGTTTTGGATTAAGCACTATAGTTTAGTACAATCAATACTCACTAAAGAATTTTTTTTCAATTATATTAGCATCAACACTTTATCACTTGATGCTGTAGATGAAATTAATGTAGAATTGGAACTGGAATCAAAGCCAGTGGATGCAAGTATGAAAGACTATAGCATTTAAAATAAATGAAATGATAAATGAGTGAGTCTTTTGAGAATTTAGAAAGTTAGAAAAGAGGAGACTGTAGAAAATAAGTTGTCATTTTCAATTCAGACTAGATTCACATGAGGAGAATGTTCTGTCAGGTTACATAAAGATGGTTTTTCACACAGGTATATCATCCAGGTGTGAGAAGTGTATCCTGCTGCGTTATTAGGAATGGCTTCCTGGTAGGGAATACCTCCTACTGTCAGAGGTAATGATCAAGCTGCCATATTGTAATGGTATAATTTTAGTTTAGTCTCTGGCCAGATTCCAGTTAGGCAGGTAAGGCACTATTGCAACATTATTTGTATGTAGTATATAAGAATATATCCTTCAACATACATAGCTGCTGGAACAGAAGACATTATTTCCAAGTCTTATTTCATTCTCATGTCTCATGCCTATGCCTTTGCTTATGGTTTTTCACTGATTATTTAGTCTTCTGGCTTTCACATAGTCATCCCTATCAGAAATTCAGCATCTTAAAGAGGATACATAGCTCATTTTCATCAATTACAGAATGAAAAGGAAAAGATCTCTTAGCATAATGTGAGAAAAAGATAGCTGTCTTTGTTTGGGCTGTTATAACAAAAATAACATAAACTGGGTGGCTTATAAACAATAGACATGTATTACTACAGTGTTAAATGTTGGGAATTCCAAGATCAAGGTGCTGGTCAAGGTGGTGTCTAGTGAGAGATGACTTCCTCATAGATGGCATTTTCTTGCTGTGTCGTCAGATGATGGAAGAGATAGGCAAGCTCTCTGGGACCTCTTTCTAAAAGGGCTAGCCACTTCCTGAGGATTATGACCTAATCACCTCCCAAAAGCCCTCCCTCCTAATACCACCATTTTGGGAATTAGGATTTCAACATATAAATTTGGGCGGGGGTGAGGCACAAACCTTTAGACCATAGCAGTATGTGTATGAAACAGTCATTGTTGCCCTCTTGAGAAAGTAGGATAAAATGCCATTTTTTTGCTCCTTCTTTCCTGATGAGCCTACAATCTGGAGGAAAAAAAAAAAAGAAAAAAAGAAAAAAAATTATTGGATTAATTTTTTAGTCAGGATAGTACTAGCTGTTCCAGATATCTTCCACAGATTGAGTTGATACTTACATCACTATAATTTCTAATCGTTGCTCTTAATTCTGTTTCTTGAAGCCATGATACTAAAAAATAGAATAATAGCAATTTTATAATTATTAACATTTTATTTTGGGGACCATATATTTCAGTCATTTCTTCTTAATGCTCTTTAAGCATACTTTAATCTATATACTTATCCTTTGAGATAGATGTCATGAGTCCAATTTAGAGCTTAGGGAATTGTAACCTAAGAAGTTTAAACACCCTTCACCATACTAACACTAATGAAAAGAAAATAGGAGTAGTTCTATTAATTTCAGGCAGAGCAGACTTCAGGGCAGGGAAAATGATCAGGACTAAGAAGGAAATTATATCTTCAATAAATGGTGTTGGGAAAACTGGATAGCTACACACAAAAGAATGAAACTGGACCACTTTCTTACACCATACACAAAAAATAAGCTCAAAATGGATTAAAGACCTAAATGTGAGACCTGAAACCATAAAAATCCTAGAAGAGAACACAGGCAGTAATTTCTCTTATCTTGGTTGTAGCAGCATCTTTCTAGATATGTCTCCTGAAGCAAGGGAAATATAAGCAAAAATAAACTATTGGTTCTACGTTGATATAAAAAGCTTCTGCACAGCAAAGGAAACAACCAACAAAACTAACAAGACAACCTACCAAATGGGAGAAGATATTTGCAAATGATATATCCAATAAATGGTTAGTATCCAAAATGTATAAAGAATTTATACAACTCAACACCCAAAAACCAAATAATCCAATTAAAAATGGGGAGGGGACATGAAGAGATATTTCTCCAAAAAAGAGATACAGATGGCTAGTGGACACATGAAAAGATGCTCAACATCGCTTGGCATCAAGGATATACAAATTCAAAACCATGATGAGATACCACCTCACACCTGTCAGAATAGCTAAAATAAAAAATTCAAGAAACAACAAGTGTTGGTTGGTGAGGATGCAGAGAAAAAGGTACCCTTGTGCACTGTTGGTGGGATTGCAAACTGGTGTAGCCACTGTGGAAGATGGTTAGAAGTTCCTCAAAAAATTAAAAATAGAACTACCTTACAATCTAGTAATCGTACTACTAGGTATTTACCCAAATAATATAAAAACAGTAATTTCAAGGGATCACCCTTGGTTTATTGCAGCATTTTTTTTACAATAGCTAAATTATGGAAGCAGCCCAAGTGTCCATTAGATAGATGAATGGATAAAGAAGATATGTGATATATATGTGGAGTATTATTCAGCCCTAAAAAGGGATGAAATCTTGCCATTTGCAACAGCATGGATGGATCTAGAGAGTATAATGCTAACTGAAATAAGCCAGTCAGAGAAAGACAAACACCATATGATTTCACTCATATGTGGAATTTAAGAAATAAAACAAATAAACAACAACAACAAAAAAGAGGGACAAACCAAAATAACAGACTCTTAACTATAGAGAATAAACAGATTGTTTACAGAGGGAAGGTGCATGGGCGGATGGGTGAAATAGGTGAAGGCAATTAAGACTACACTTATCTGGATGAGCACTGAGTGATACATGGGAATGCTGAATCACTATATTGTACATCTGAGACTAATATAACACTGCATGTTAACTACACTGGAATTAAAATAAAAGTGAACAAAATTTTTAAAAAGGAGGGCATTATATAATCATAAGCGATAATTTCTCCAAGAAGACTTACAAACCTTTAATGTACATATACTAAAAACAGAATGTCAAACTACATGAGGCAAAAACTGATAGATATTTAAGGAGAAATTTAATGATTTTGCTTTCACAATGTACACACCTATCAAGTCACCATGATGTGCACTTTGAATATGTTAAAATTTTATACATCAGTTATACCTCAATAAAGCTGAAATTTAAAAAAAAAAAAAAGGAAAAGAAATGGACAGGTCCAGCAGGAAGAAAATCATAAGGGCGTAGTAGAACACAGCAACGCAATCACTCAACTGGATATAATCGGCATCTATAGATCTCTTCATTCAACAGCAGCAGACTACATATTCTACGCGAGCTCACATGGAACATTCACTAAGATAGACCACATTTTGGGCCTTAAAACACATGTAAATAAATTTAAAAGAATAGAAATCACATAATGTCTGCTCTCAGACCAAAATTGAATTATACTAGCAATAAATAACAGAAAAATCATGGGAAAATTACCAAATATATTAAACAATATATTTCTAAATAACACATGGATCAAGAAGAAATCTCAAGAGAAATTTTTAAACACTTTGAACTAAATGAAAATGAAAATACAACTTATCCAAATTTGTAGGATACAGTGAAAACAATACTTAGAGAGAAATTTATAGCACTGAAGGCATATATCAAAAATGAAGAAAAATCTAAAGTTAATAATCTAATTAGTTTCCACCCTAGGAAACTAGAAAGAGAAGGCCAAATTAAACCTAAAATGAGCAGAAGAAATGAAATAGTAAAAACAGGGCAGCAGTCAATGAATTGGAAACAAGAAATCAGTAGAGAAAATCCATAAAACCAAAGATCGTTCTTTGAAAAGATCACTAAAATTGATAAGCCTCTATCCATGTTTAAAAAGAGAGAGAGGACATAGATTATTAATAGAAATGAAAGAGGACACATCACTACAGATCCCATGGACTTTTAAAGGATAATAAAAGATTACTATGAAAAACTCTGCTCACAAATTTGATAACCTCAATCAAAGGCTAATTTCTCAAAAGATGCTATTTGTCAAAACTCACACAAGAAGAAATAAACAATCTAAGTAGGAATAGATCTATTGAAGAAATTGATTCAATAATTAATAACTTTCCAAGACAGAACATACCAGGCCCAGAGAGATTCACTGGTGAATTCTACAAAAAGTTTAAGTAAGAAATTGCTAATTCTCTACAATCTCCTTCAGAGGATGGAGAAAGAGGAAATACATCTGAACTCATTCTATGAGGCCAGCATTACTCTAATACCAAAACGAGACAAAGGCATCAGAAGAATAAATTATATATTGATATCTCTCATGAATATAAATATAAAATCCTGACCAAAATATTAGCATTTTGAATCCAACAGTACAAAAAAGAATTATATACCACAACTAACTGGTATTTTTTACAGGTATGCAAGGCTGGTTCTACATTCAAAAATCAATTAATGTAATTATATCACCAGGCTAAAAAAAGAAAAATCATATGATCATATCAATAGATGTAGAAAAAGCACTGGACAAAATGCAGCATCTATTTATAATAAAAACTCTCAGTAAACAGGGAATAGGAAAGAGGGTTTTCGACTTGATAGGGCTATCTACAAAAAACCTACTACTAAATCATACTTAAGGTGAGAAACTAGAAGTTTCCCACTAAGATCAAGAACAAGGTAAGGGTATTTCTTCTCACCCCTTCTTTTCAACATTGTACTGGAAGTCCTTGCTAATGCAATAAGATGCTGGAGGAAAAAAAAAGATTTACAGATTATGGACAAATAAAACTGTCTTTGTTCACAGGTGACATGATCATTTGTGTAGAAGATCTGAATCAACAAAAATAGCCATCCTAATAATGATTATAGCAAGGTTTCAGGATTTAACATACAAAATTAAATCACTTTCCTATATACCAAAAATGAAATGAACAATTGGCAATTAAAATTACAACAGAATATGAAACAACAAATGAACCCAAACAAATGAAATACTTAGGTATAAATATAACAAAATGTGTATAAGATCTGTATGAGGAAAGCAACAAAGCCTTGATCAACAATCAAAGAAGAACTAAATAAGTGGGGAAGTATTCTATGTTCATGCATAGGAAGACTCAATATTATCAAGACATTGGTTCTTTCCAACCTGATATATAGATATAACATAATCCCAATCAAAACCCCAGAAGGTTATTTTGCAGATATCAGCAAAACAATTCAAAAGTTTATATGGAGAGGCTAAAGACCCAGAACAGCCAATCACAATATTGAAGAAGCAGAACAAAGTTGGAGAAGTAACACCACCTTCAAGACTTCCAGACTTAGTATAATATTCCAGTAATCAAGACAGTGTAGTATTGGTGAAAAAATAAACAGATCAATGGAACAGATAGAGAATGCAGAAATAGACCCACATAAATATATTTAACTGACCTTTGACAAAGGAGTCTTTTCAACGAATGACATTGGAACAACTGGATATCGGCATGCAAAAAAAAAAAAAATCTAGACATAGACCTTCCACTGTTCACAAAATTAAAATGGATCATGACTCTAAATACAAAATGCATAACAATAAAACTACTAGAAGATAACAGAAAGAAACCTAGATGACCTTGGATATGGTGACTTTTTACAGACAAAATCATGTATGTTGTCTTACATGATCCACAAAAGAACTAACTGATATGCTGGAATTCATTAAAATTAAAAACTTCCACTTTGCAAAAGACAGTTCAAGAGAATGGGAAAACAAGCCACAGACTGGGAGAAAATATTTGCAAAAGATACATTTGATAAAGGACTGTTATCCAAAATATACAAAGAACTCTTAAAACTCAATAATTAAAACAACCCAATTTAAAAAATGGACTATGACCTTAACAGTTACCTCACCAAAGAAGTTATACAGGTTGCAGATAAGCATATGGAAAGATGCTCCACAAGATGCTGCATTGTTTAGCTCAGAGTAGAGTGGGTCACAGAAATATATATATATAAATATATAATATGTATAAAATATATATTTATATGTGAAATATATATTTTACATATATAATAAACACATATTTTAAGTATTAATTTTATAATGAATTTTATATATATAAAATATATTTTATTACTAACCTCCCCCAAATAGCACATTCTCCAATTCACCTTCTTTTTAGGACTTAGAAAAAGTATATCACTAAATATTGCAAGACCAAATGTCAACTTCTGCCTGTTCTCAAATTGTTCCCTTTTGTGTGATGCCAGAAATTCTGAACAAGAAGCCATGAAGGCCAGAGAGAAATCAGAATATACTCTGGGGACTTTTAGCGCCAGGGCCTCCGTATCCAGCTGAACAGTTTATATGTTGCGCAGCGAAGCCTGTCTCTGGGAGTAAGAGGCTGAAATCCAGTTTACACTTTCTTCTAACGGCCTCTATCACCTAAATTAAGGGGCATCTTTCTCTAATCTGTTCGCACACAGAAGGCTTCTTCTATTTATAACCCAAACGAAGATACTATGTAGACTAGTGTTGGCTCTGATAATCCACTTCTCAGGAAGAAATCCAGACAACACAAATATGTGGCATCTGTGTGTAGAGTTGACTGTTTTTTTTTTTTTCCTCCCCCCACAGACTACTTCTCTTTTGTTTTTTAGTACTCATTACACAATCCAAGAATTCACACATTTTTTGGCATCCTTCCACATACACTTTTCTAGGAAACTTGTATATATTTTCTTTTTAAATTTTTTACAACAACCCAGTGTAAGTACAGTTACTTTCATTTTAAAGAAGAGGAAATTGAAATTCAGAGAGTTTAATTGCCAAACTACCTAGTAAATAGCAGAAACAGCTTTTAAGTTCATGATTCTGACACCAGAGCTCATTTTCTTCACAATATGTATTTTAACATTTATGTGGTCAGTTTTCTTACCAAAATGCCTCCTATTGTTGAACTACTTATAATATCTCCATTAAAATATGCAAACCATTTCCCCTAAAGCATAACAATAACAGTGTGGAGCAGAAAGGACAGATAATACCTTAATTCCCCTGAAGTTCAGCAAGACTGACTTGCCCTTGACCACGGCCTCTAATTTATAAAAACAGACTAAGACCTCATCTTCAGATTCCCTTTCTCTTGCTCTGTCCCTCTTGAGTACACAGAGCCTGTCAAATATATTTTCTTGTTATATCAAAATCAAAAGGCCTTTGATATTTCTACTTCTAGCCAAGATGGTGTTACTTGAACCAGATTTAACCCTCTGCTTGAAACAAAACTAGACCAAATAATGATTTTCAAGACATTAGCCTACAAAGGACAATGAACCCCTAAAAAGGGGCTTGGATAATATGAGCCCTTCAGTTTTCTGTGCTTACCGTCCTGAGAGACTGCTGCCCAAGCAGAGGGAACCCAGAGTTTGGCAGTCTTCTTGAACTGAGAAGATGGAACGGGAAGTCTGGAAAGTCAGTGTAACTGGAGTTTGTATGGCACATTGGAGCTTCTCAGAGTTTCTTTAGGCCTCCAGCTGAGTACTGATCAGCACATGCTTTTGAGGAAGCTGTGCCAGGCTGGGAAAGAACCAGCAGAAAAAAGATCAGAGGAAATAATCCCTAAAACTTATACAGGGTCAAAAAAAGTTATTTTTACCACCAGCCAGAATGGAAAACCTCATAATGCTTAGGGTATTTCTGAGAAGGATTTTGCCTCAGTGGGTGTGTGAGAGATGAAGATGTGGAAGATGAAGGAGAAATTAACCCTAGACTAAATTCTGCCTGATCTTACCAAGAACCAAAATCAGGAACTGAAAGGATAAAAGTGTTTACAGTTAGGGCACCTAGGTGTCTCAATCGGTTAAGCATCTGCCTTCGGCTCGGGTCATGATCCCGGGGTCCTGGGATTGAGCCCTGCATCAGGCTCCTTGCTCCCTGGGAAGCCTACTTCTCCCTGTCCGTCCATCCCTCTCCGGCTGCTTGTGTTTTCTCCCTCTCTGTATCAAATAACTAAATAAAACCTTTTAAAAAAGGTTTACAATTAATTTAACCACTAACCAAAACCAAGCACAATAATAGTTATAAAAATATAAATATATCTAGTACATAGCAAGATAAAAAAAAAAAATCACCAGGTGTTCAAAGGAAGAGGAAAAATGTCTCATGATGGGGACAACAATTCATCATTCCAAAACAGTCCAACAAATGGCATGGATAATAGAATTAGTAGACAAGGGTATTAAAACAGTTACCACCATATTCCATATATTCAAGGAATTAAAGTATATATTGATCATGTAAGATGTTTAAAAAAATCCAAATCAAATTTCTGCAGATGAAAAATACATGTTTGACATGAAAAATTCACTGGATGGATTAAATGCAGACTAGACACTGAAGAAGAAGATAGCTAACTTGAAAACATGGCAATGGAAACTATCCAAAATAAAGCACAGAAAGAAAAGAAAAATGAACAAAGTACCAGTAATCTGTGAGACAGCTTAAAGTGGCTAATATAAGGACAAGACAAAAAAAAAAAAAAAAAGGACGGTAAATTAGCTGCTGGGTGCACATACAGCAAATTACACATATTTAGAGTATATAATTTGAGATACGTGTATATGTATACACATATATATCTATGATATCATCATCACAATCAAGGTAATGACATCCCCCGAAGTTCTCTTGTTGTCACTTCGTCATTCCTCCCTCGTTGTAATCCCTCAACTCTCTGTTGTCCACAAATAATCCCCAGGCAACCACAGACCTGCTTTCTGTCATAATAGATCAATGTTTATCTTCTAGAAATGTATACCAATGGCATCATACAATTTGCATTATATAGTTTGTCTGGTTTCTTTGGCATCCCCCTTTGTTTGAGATTCATCCATGTTATTGCATGTATCCATAGGTCATTGCTTAGTATCACTCTGTTCTCATTGTGCAGATACAGATTTGCTTATCCAAGTAAACTGCTATGAATAGCTGTGTACCAGTCTTTGCATAGCTATTTTGCTGTCATTTTCTTGGGTAAATACTTAGGAGCTAAGCAGCTGGATCATAGGATAGTTGCTTGTTTAATGTCTCAACTGCCAAACTATGTTCCAAAGTGATTGTACCATTTGACAGTCCCACCAACAGTTTGTGAGAGTTCCAAGTATGCCACCTCTTGCCCAACATTTTATTTGCTGAGCTATTATTTTTTTAAAAACAATTCTAAAGAGTATAGTGGTATCTCAATGTAGTTTCAATTTGAATTTCTTTAGTTAGTTCTGATGTTGAATATCTTTTCATGTACTTATTGACAATCCATATGTTTCATTTGGTAAAGTGTTATTCAAAGTTTTTGCTCATTTTTTCAAATGGGCTATTGTTGAATTTTGAGAGTTTTGTATAGAGTCTGGATAAAGTCCTTTATTAGATGTATGTTTTGCAGTATTTCATCTAAGTCTGTGGCTTATCTTCTAATTCTCTCACAGACTCTTTCCAAAAGTAGAATTTTTTAATTTTGATGAAATCACTTATTAATATTTATCTTTTATTGATTTTGCACTTGATGTTCCATCTATGAAATCTTTTCCCAATCCAAATTTAGGAAGTTTCCCACTTAAGATTTCTCCTAGATGTTTTATAGTTTTACTTTTATACATTTAGGTATATAATCCACTTTGAATTAATTTTTGCATATGGGTTAGCATGGATTGAAGCTCATTTTCTGCATGTGGATATTTAATTATTACAGCACCATTTGTTGAAAGGACTATCCTTTCTCCACTGAATTGTTTGCTTACCTTTCTTGAAAATAAGTTGTACATACATATGTGAGTCTATTTCTGAACTCTCTTTTCTGCTTCATTTATCTATCTGTCTCTTTGTGGCCAATGCCACACTATTTTGATTGTTGTAGTTTTGTAACAAGTCTTGGAATTGAGGAGTCTTTATCCTCTAAATTCTTCTCCTTTTTATAGGTTATTTTGGCTATTATAGGTCCTTTGTGTGTCCACATGAGTTTAAGAATGAGTTTGTCTTTTTCTACACACACACACACACACACACACACACATTTGCTAGGTTTTGATAAGGATTGTGTCTAACCTATAGATCAATTATAGGGGAATGACATTTTAAAGAGATTGTCTTTTCACCATGAACATGATGAATCTCTCAATTTATCAAGCTCTTCTTTAATTTCTCTTAGTGATATTACATAGCTTTTATTTACAAGCCTTATGGATCTTGGGTCTGATTATTCCTAAATATTTCATGTTTCTGTGCTACTGTATATCATATTAATTGCTAATTTCAATTTCCAGTTGTTCATTGCTAGTGTATAAAATAAGCCAATTTTATATTGATCTTATATCATAAAACTTACTAAACTCGCTTCGTTGTTTTAGTAGCTTTTTTCTTGGTTCCATCAGCTTTCTACAAGATAGATCATTTCATTTATGAGTAAGTACAATTTCCCTTCTTCCTGTCCAAACTGGGTGCTTTTTGTTTCTCTTTCTTACATGTTTGCCTGGGTTTAACATCCGGCAATATTTTGGATAGAAGTTCTGAGAACAGACATCCTTGTCTTCTTGCTGATCTTAGGGTAAATCATTCAATTTTTCACCATTAAATATGATATAGCTATAGGATTTTCATGTATACTTTTTTTTTTGCTTTAACTAGATAAAATGCTTTCTGTTACCTACTGGAATCTTTACTGATACAGATATTATTTTTAAAAAGCTGGTATACAGGGTGCCTGGATGGCCTAGTGGGTTAAGCATCTGACTCTTGGTTTCCACTCAGTTTGTGATCTCTGGGTCCTGAGATCAGGGTTGTGAGATCAAGCTCTGTGTGGGCTCCACTCTTAGTGTGGAGTCTGCTTGGGACTCACTCTCTCCCTCTACCCCTCCCACCGCCCCCCCGACACTCCTGTGTGCACATGTACTCTCTCTCTTTCTCTCTAAAGTAAATAAATCTTAAAAAAAGAAAGCAGGTATATTTTTTTCTGTGAAATTAAAAGTGCTTTGCATCATACCATGCACATACTAACACATCCCTTTTCCCACTCTATTATGTGAGATCCTTACATTGTCTGCTAAGGCTGCCATAATAAGATACTGTAAGACTGGGTGGCTTAAACAACCGAAAGTTATTTCTCACAGTTCTGGAGTCTAGAAGTCCAAGATCAAGGTGTTGGCAAGTTTAGTTTCTCTTGGGGCACATTTCTTAGCTTGCATATGATCATCTTCTTGCTGTGTCCTCACATGACCTTTTCTCTGTATGCACACATCCCTCTGTATGCACACATCTATAATGACACTAACCACATTGGGTTAGGACCCCACCTTTATAACCTCATTTGGTTTCAGTTACTTCTTTAAAGGCCCTATCTCTAAACACAGTCATATTGAGGGGTCAGGGCTTCAACATGAAATTGAGGAGGGAGGAACAATTTAGTTCATAATAATCATCTTGTTAAGTTCTAGTTACATGCCTTAGTTATTCATTAAAACTTGGCTGACCAACTCTCATATATAACCAAAATTTTTAAACATATTTATATAAAATAATTTTATAGCACTATAACTGTATATTGCTGTCATCTATTTTTATCTTAGCAAATATCCTAAAGAAAATGACTCTGAGATTTATACCATAGAAGTAATAAAGGTGTCAATGGCATAGACTTTGCAATTAAACAGATCAGAATTTCATTTCTGGTTTTACCTTTTATTTATATTTTTAAAGATCTTGTTTATTTATTTGAGAGAGAGAGAAAGAGAGAGAGCATGAGTGGGGGGCAAGGGGGTGGGAGGCAGACAGAGAGGGAGAAGCAGACTCTTCGCTGAGCAGGGAGCCCAACGCATGGCTTGATCCCAGGACCCTGAGATCATGACCTGAGCCGAAGGCAGAGGCTCAACAGACTGAGCAACCTAGGTGCCCCTGCTTTTACCTTTTAAAAGCTCAAACTCTGATATCAGAAAGAATGAGTCTTGAATCTTGGCTTTACCATTTAGTACTTATAGGTCTTGTTCAAGTTGCTTTAACTCATTCACCTTAATTATCTTCAAATGTAAGACAGGAAGAGAGCTTGTGAAAATTAAGTGAATGTAAATGTAACCACTTTATGAAGTGTTCCTGGAACATAGTTAATGCCAGACACACATTTTTTATTTTTACTATAATTTCTTTTTTTGTGTTACGTGGAAAATACTGTCTACACATGCTGGGTTGTCTCTTGCCAGATTAGCATCAGCATAGACATCCCTAGAAACTGGGGATTGCTTTTATCAGAATTCTTATTGCTGTGTGATTCCAGGCTAGAGTTTACCAAGGAGAAATCATCTGAAATTGAGAAATAGATATTGGTCAAACACAGTGGCTTTATTCGATAGGGTGATCTGAACTTAGCACAGTGCCTGACATGGACATGCTCAGTAAATGTTAATTTATTTTCTCTTTCTATACTATGTTTTATAACTATATATTAAGTATGTATTACATAAGTATATATTAACTTCTATAATTATTATTTATTGTAGTTTCTGTTGTTATTCCCATTTTATGGACTGGCT